ATAAATGTAAAATACTGTCAAAAGTCAATACGGGAAAAAGGTACAAAAGTAATCAGTGGACAAGAAAAATGCCAGAGTGGTAATTCTTGTTAAATATCAAGTTTAGACTTCTATATATGATGCATAAAAAGGAAAAAAATCAAACAGCTCATTGCAAAATGCAATGTGAATATCAAGAACTATATTCCAGCACTGAAGCCTCCAGCTCCTTGAATTTAAGTATACACCCAGGTCTCATAAATATCAAGACAAGGTGAACTGTAAAAACCTTTGATTTTAGCTCAGCAGATATTCCAAGGGCCTCAGGCTGTTTTATTTGTCCAGATTTTATTCGAACAGCACAGCTGGTACAACACCCTGTTAAATGATATTTTTTGTTAGTAATTATTTTAACTGATCAAATTGGCAAGGCCATTTTATCATCCAAGACAAGCAGACTCACACTGCATTAGTACCCCGATCAGAAACAAAACAGAAAAAAAAAAGGTGAAGGAATAAATAGATGCAAGCATAAAAATTTCATATCCGAAGACAACTCATATGACAAATATCCAAAAATCCTGAGTCAAACTCAACTCTAACTTACAGATCTTGGAACAACTTAGACTGCTACTTGACTTGAAAAAAACTTGCAAAAAAGAACTAAAAAAAAATTCCTAAGCCAATGAGAGTTTTTAATTAGAGTTAAGTTTGACTTAGAAAAGTAAATAAAGAGTCTATATGTATTCAGTCTTTATTATGTCTAGATTAGGATTGTTTTCACTTTCTGAATAAGGAAGTTTAATCTTAGAAGTTACTATTATTATTTTTTCATTGAAAGAGAAGTTATTAAATTGGTTTAGGAAGTTTTAGAGTTGTATTTCGATTTGAAGTCCAATAAGGCTCACTCTTACCTCAAATTTTGCTTGTTCTTGGATTTATGCTAATGCACTCGACTATCTTGATGGTCTTGAGTCCCTCAAGAAGTTAACAGGTGCTGACTCTTAGAGACACCGAGGTGCTGATTCCAGATTATTTATCTTTGTCTTCTTATTATATCTCCTTTCTCATCTTCATTATTAATAAAGCATTGGTCTTTTATCAATTAAAAATAATAAATAATACAGGTTTGTTCAGATATGGTCTATCTATTTTGAATCTGATTTATGTTTCAGGTAAAAGTTCTGGGCCAACATCATGGGGTTGATCTAGATCATTTACATACCACAACAATGAAATAGTAAGACAACTTTTTTCTCTTTTCTATTTTATCTTTACATAAAATGGAATTCCATAGACTCAACACTATTACATAAGAAAATCATGCTGTAATTTGCCACTTTGTATGAACTATAGTTGTGCATCACAAGAAAAGGACCATTTCCCAGAAAAAAAAAAGACTTTTCCTTCTTTATTTAAATTGGGTCCTGTTCAACAAATGAGGCTAAAAACAATTATCTTCAGTGTTAAGTTCCATGCACGGGCTTAGAAGCAAGGTCATGGACATGAAAAGAAAAGTGAATATAAAGTTACGTCAAAGATAAAAGGCTACACATGGTTCTTTAAAGTCAAGAGCTAACCTATATTCTCTGGTGAGAACTGCTCACCACAGGGGCTGCTTTGAGGGAGCCCTGCCTCCTATAAATGAGAGAGAGAGAGAGAGAGAGAGAGAGAGAGGCTTTTGAGAAACTGAATCTGCTCATTCCATTATTCAGTCTGATATTTAAAAGGCACTTACATTGAAGGCACATGGGGGAAAATCAGGTGTAATCATTAATACCGCAACTAACCGATCTGTCGTGACCTCCTAATGTAGACGTGCTTGAGAGGTGGCTTTGGGCTTTGGACCACCATTGACTTGGGGCTAGTGAAGTGGCGCACCTGGGTCTCCTGGGCTGGCTGGGCCTTATCAATTCCCCCCTCCTCAGAAATAACCTTGTCCTCAAGGTTTATGTTGGGGAACTGCTGCCCGAGAGTGGTGTAGATCTACCAAGTGGCTTCCTCCGCTGGTAAATGGGTCCACTGCACTAACACTTCTCTGATCAAGGTGTTGCCTGAATGTACCCAACACTGATCAAGTATTTTGTGGGGCTCAACTAGAGGTGAGCCTTCCTCCGTGAATTCAGGGAGAGCTGGGATTGATATAATTGCCAGTGAAATGCCCTTTTTTAACAGTGAAATGTGGAAAACAGGGTGTAGCCGAGAGGTAGCAGGTAGCTGCAGATGGTAGGCTACAGCTCCTATCTTCTCAATAATGCAAAAAGGGCAGAAATACCTGGGGGAGAACTTTCTCCAAGCCCTTCTTGCTAAGGAATTCTGGCGATAAGGTCGTTTATCATAATGGGTTTTCATCAATATCTGGGATCTTAGGAGATGATCTTTGAGAGATTTAAGGACCTCATCCTGCTGGATCTGTTGGGCATCCACTTCAGCCATCAACATGGATCCCTTTTTGTAAGGCAAAATGGAAGGGGTTCTCTTCCATAGAGAGCAAGAGAGCACGGAATGGGGACATGCTTGTGGAAGCATGGTAAGAGGAGTTACACCAAAATTCAGACCAGGGAAGCCAACGGGCCCACTGTTTGGGCTTTTCCGCTACAAAGCACCACAAATAAGTTTCTAGACACTGGTTTATCACTTCCATCTAGCCGTCAGTTTAAGTGTGCTAACTGGTGGAGTGTAACAGCTTGGTACCTTGGGCCTTGAAGTATTCTGTCCAGAACCCACTCATAAATGTAGGGTCCTGGTCCGATAATATGGACTGTGGTGTTCCATCTAGGCGTGTAACCTCTCGTATGAAGACCCATGCTAGTTGGGCAGCAGTAAAGGGATGGGAGAGGGCCACAAAGTGGCTGTATTTGGTAAGTTGGTCCACCATCACCATGATGACAGACTTACCAGCAGATGTAGGTAGTCTGTTATGGTCACACCATCCGGCAGCACACTGCGGCGCAGTCATAGGCAGCAGCACGCACAGCAGGCCGCACAGCAGCAGGCACCGCCTGGCAGCGCCACACAGCAGCACGCACCGCCAGGCAGCAGTGCGCACCGCACGCACTGCACGGCAGCACGCACCGCGCACACGCCCGGCACCGCACGGCAGCGG